CTTGAAATAACTGTGACTTTGATGCGATTTAAATGTACATTATATTGTGATCGAAGGTGGTACAAAGAGAGCCCCGGTTAGCGAACGAATCAATAATAGGTCCCGTTCAACCAGATGCGCAGACGTAGCGGCTGAAAGTACTTCGCGAGACAATGTCACTACCACTCGAAACTAACGAATCGACAATTACAGTCCGACGGACAATCCGCATCTAGCCAGAAAGATATCCATCGAACATCACAACGTCGGAGCTGTCGATCAACTTATCTCGCGCTACGATTAGGTTAGACCAGTCGGAATTGCACGCAGAAGAAGAGACAACGTACGTGCTGAATGCAGACCAAAATCAAAAGGGATTGACCAATAGAATGAGGTATAAATCATCTTGCCACGCGGCGAACAATTGACTGTACATAAGTGAACACATACACTGGTTGTTTTTGAATTGAATCAATAAACGGTTTGCGAGCCAACTGGCCTTCTCGTTACAATATGTAGCGCCTACGGAAAGACGGAATCGATAAGACCACTCTTGACCGCTTCAATGCATCTTCATGGTAAAACTAGAAACACTAGCAGCACGCAGAGCAACAAGCCGAATATTGCTCATCCGACTCATCTTCTGGGCTAGTGTCTATAATTAGGCTCAACTGAACTTCTGCTTTTTCTCTTGTCCTTGGTCTGGTCTGCTCCTTGAGAAAGATTTCCGAGTGTGGAATTTGGTGTGGTCGTCGAAGCGTCATTTGTATTCAACATTCACTTGGAAAATGGCATTCGCCCAGACTAGTATATGTTTTGGGTCATACACACCCTTTTGAACTGCAACATTACGTGGATATCCAGGAGCTTACTTCAGCGAAAATTTAATGTTAACTTAATGTACGATCGGTTGATTAAAAATTCACGTGATAGCATCAAGTTCTCTTACCGTAGAAGAATCAGCGTTGATTAGAATGCCTTGTGCATCGCAGCGGAATTTAAGGTATCGATTTGTCAGAGCGTGTAGATAGATAATTTGTTATTATGCCACAAACTAAATTTTCCAGACAGCCAAACTCTGTTACAATCCAACGCAAGAATGTTTGTAAACTCAAAGATTAGCACGCATGACTGTTCCTTCTAATCATGTTGAATACACAAATAGGCATTTGACCGAATCCAACCATGAGCACTGCCCCACATGGACCTTTAAGTACAGATGCGATCAGACCCCATGCTTTTGCCTACAACCGACGATGATGTAAACTCGTCCGATCCAATTTCATAATCGGGAGAAATACTCGATTTTATGTTGATGAAATCAATTGTATTTTTATACATATGTTGTCTGAACGTGATGAGAACTAAAACACTGGAAACACACAAGTTAGCCACCAAGTCGTGTCCTGAAGATTCTACTGTACTTAGTTCCAAACATGAAATGCCTTATTTACCACATTTGAACACGATATCCCGAGTCATGGATTTCCGAAATGCCAGTTCACGTTATCTTTTAGTTGGCGGAAACAACCAGATCCTTCACCTCGCTCATGTAACATGTAGGCATATGGGAAAGTTCCTAATCGATCGATAACTCCAGAAGCTCGTGCTGAAATGATTGAAGTACGATGTTCACAATGAGCTGGCCAAAATGGTCACGAAGCCGTCCGGTAGCCAAATGTATAATAGGATTGAGGATTGGGGTTCGATAGGTTAATGGATTGGCATTGTTGAAGATATTGAAACAGATCAAAACAACCGTATATGATATAAATCTGAGCCCAATTCTCCATAAATCTCACAAAATAACAGTATCCCAGCATCTAAATCATGTGCTATCGGCCAGTCACAAAGTAGATGGAGGGAGGGGGCAATGGAAAAGCTGGTGTTCCCATTAGACAAAAAAACAATGAATGAGGACAAAACAATAAAACAAGTTCTTTTTTCTTTTTATTTCTTTTTAATGAATATGAAAAGATACGACTTTCAGGAAGTTTGAATCTTGGCCATTACAAATCACAGGCGGAATACCATGCGTGATCATAATTCAATAAACTGGAAAACACATCTCCTTCTTAACTAAATTAAAAATGTTTCCCGTGAGAATGTTGAAATCGACCGACCAAAAGCGTTAATGTACTCTGGAGAAGTGAAATGTGCGTCACAATGTACAACAAGCGAAACACAGCAAATCTACGCCAGAAGCTTTACCGGCTTCTTCATTGCAATCGAATTTTCATGAGACACAGCGGCGGATTGATGTTGTTTGGGTGAAACTTGCAAACACCATAAGATGTTCTGGTTAATCATGCGAAGTATACATGGAACTTCCGATTCGAGTAGCGCACCTCGCTATTTGAAACGAGTGGCTATTTAACAAGTTTTCAATCGTCAATAAGTGGCGCTTTCTTTCAATTATGACGTGGTATTTAGGGAATAAGGCAAAAATGCGTTTCTTTCCAGATTTAACTGACATTTACAGGTCAAAAAGAACAAAGTAAAGATTTTGGTATACGTTAACAAAAATTTTTTATTCACACCACATGTCCGAATTGAGTTACACAGGGGCAGCAGGCGCTAGAAGCCGATTGTTTTGGGCTTGACTCGATTCTCAATAAATGAACTTGCTCGCTTGATGGTTTCGGAAATCGATTGTGAAGAACAGTGTGGTTTGATGCAACTGTTAGGACGGAGTGCATAAAGCCTGTCAAGCGGCGCATCGATCCGCGTTACACCACAAGTGCGTCCGTGACGCCCGAAACCGAATCGATTCCGGATTGGAAGATTACGACAAATCAGGTAATCGTTGTCCGTTTGATCAACCGGAGTATCAAGCTCACGATCGCATTGGTGCGTCACCACGTGATCTCTCTCCTTCGCCTAATTTACAGCATATATTTGCGTATTGTGTCATGATCAATAATATATGCATTCTGACTGTCGTTTTCTGAGCCATGCTCTCTCTCCGTATCGTTGTTCGGGACTAGTCAAAAGGTGCACGTATCGTTCTTGCATCTTAGCAGGATACAACAGCAACAAACCATTCTACGGTGTTTGAATATCGTGCAATGATCAGAGATGGTGAAAAACAGATGGACAGAATTATTACCAGAACCCCGGCCCAATTCAGCCTTTACAGTTTATAACGTGTGATTCTAAACCGTGAACGCAACATGCTGAGAATAAAACTGCTGTGTAACACATAAATAACGATGCCACAACACACACAATTCAATTTTAGAAAAGTCAAGTTCATTTTTCGTGGTTTAAACGAAGGAATAAGTTAACAGGTTGAAACAGAAATATTGCATGATGAGGAGAACTACTACTACACAAAATCGGTATTCCTCATACAGTGTCCTCGCAAACGTCCCGACGTGACGACTTTTGCCTTCTCCGTGCACTTACTCCACTGTCCAATCCGAGCATGATCAGTAAGAGGAAAAATGTGACCGCCCAAAACGGGGCCCATGGTAACGTGCCAATAGCGAACGGATAGACTTGGAACACGAGTCCCGGACCTGATTCAGGGATTAAACAGTGAAGAAAAACGAGATGGGTAGTGATCACAACTGGAATTCGTTTGATAATTCAAAGTGTAGCAGTTCGTATTGTGTGTGTATACGCTGTTTGTCGTTTCTGAAAAGCGTACTGGTTGGCATTTTTTTAGTGTTTTCCCTATTGCACGATCCATGTACGAAACAGCCCTTTGGAATAGTACAAGAATCTATCAACGGATAGAATTGGTCGGTACTGGCCACGTATTGCATTTGTTCATGTATTCCGTTCCCGGCTTTCCAGTTCACGCTTCACGCGCTCTGTACACACAACAATTTACTGAGAAATTGAATCAGATCCTTCAGTATTATATGTGAAAGACATAGAAGGTTGCACTCGGGCATTAGTTATAGGGTGGTGAACAAGTGAGCTGAATAAAAAGGTTTCTTTGTGTGATCAAGTTAGGAAAAACTTTGATTATACCTTGTAAACGTTGACTGCCCAACCAATAGGCTGACTGCGAGTCACAATAATTTTGAGTAAGGTGGTGCCGGGGCGCCAAGCAAGGAAGGATGCGTGAAAGGAGGTGAAGTAAGACGGTGTCTAGTGTGACGTAATCATTACCATAACAAAAAGTTGTGTCACAAATTCCGTCGTGGTTTCTAAAGTCGAATTGTTATCGCTTATAGAGATCGCAAAATTCATGAACTTTGAGGCCCATCACTGACCCGAAATGCGTTCTAGTGCGTGCATTTGAAGCCCGGATTTTTAAAAAATGTGGTATGATTGCTAATATCTTCACACGGAGACCAAACTTCTAGAGAAATGTTGGCATATTCTCTTTGACGGATGACCTTCCATCCTTTTGATGTGCCTCGAACCGCAGATACATGAACAGAAACAGTCGGACGTATACTAGTATCTTTCCGAGCTAGGTTAATGCGAGTGTTAACGAAATGCCCATCAAACTAGCGGAATTATATGTTCATTTCTTGACATGTGTCAAACAATCACATACTCGAGTTATCCCTTCAACTCCTCTGTAAATTAGACCTATATATATATATATTCTCTAGGTCTAGGAGAGTGTACGCAAAATTGATGAGTAATATAATCAGGAGTTTAAAGGGTATATCTGCACCTCAATGACAACTGATTATTTGGATAAGATGTGTATTATTCATTGGAATGATCCTTCTTTGGTCTTCTATTCAATCAGAGGTGAACTTATGGTTCCTTAAGTCACCGACATTGATCGTTCGCTTTTAACAATTTTGTTCAATGTCACTGAGAGAGTGTTAGGTAGAAAGACTATTTTTACCTAAAACTGCCTATTTTTCGAGTGTTTTAAATTAGGGGCATCTCGAATTAATACTAATCTCTCGGAGATTAATCATTGATATTGCGTCATACGGAAACATTCACTCCGTCCGTCTGATCCTATGACGTATGACCGATTGAACTCTGCTAACTGTGTACTTGATTGGCACAACCTTTTTCTTGCATTAATCGATGCTATTTTGAGTCACATATAAGCATCGGAGTAAAACATGGAAATTGACTTGCTTCCTGTGTGTCAAGTACACGTTCGCCGTGCACTAACTGTGTTCTTGCTTACGTAGCTGGGAGAAGGCTATTAGTGCTGGTGGCGTCCAATCTGTGCTGTGATCGTACTCATGGGGCTAGACGATTAGTATGGCCGTTGAGGTACGTCTGTTCTTTATGTGTCAACTTGTGATATCCTGTTTTGTGTACATTGTGATTAATCGAGATCCGGACACAACAGAGAGAGAGCAATCCTAATTGCAATTGCAGGTACATTTAACCATTGTGTAAATGATCGCGAGAGCTCAATATGATAGAATAAGTTACTTTATCAGGAAACGGAATAGCAGTTCCCCAGTCCCTTACCTTCTCCAGTGACCGATTCCACCGGTGTGTGCATCAAATGAGCCAGATAGCCCAAATAGGCGAACACAGTGATCCCGGCAAATATACTTGTCAGCGCGTTCACAATCGAAGTCACAATGCAATCCCTGTACAGAGCGGGCAGGTTGGATGAGGGGGGTGGTGGGGGGGGGGGTTGAGTGAGATATCACTGGAAGCGATTGACAGTACCTACCGGTAACAATTGTACTGAGTTGGATTGTACGTGGCGTATGCAATGTGGGCTCCGAACCCAGCACCAGTGGAGAAAAATATTTGAATGGCCGCATTGGCCCAAACCTAAATCGGAACAAACGAAGAGCATTCATTCGTCAGTTTGTATCCAGATAGGCGGTTGATTGGAAAAGAAAAACAAAAATCAGTCATATCCGGGTCAAAATTCACTCCTGTGATTGCCAGTGGTTGACGATGGGCAAGAAACACAAACTTAATGTGTGTGTGTATAAAACAAGCTTTTATTTGTGTTTTGGGTAATTGGTTTTTGGATCGAAATGATGATGATGTCTGTCGGGTTGCGTCACCTCGCTTATTGCCTCTCTGATTACCTAGTGCAACAAAACCACACATTCCAGTAAATACATTGGCAACATTCGACTAGTTGTGAATCAGTGTGTAAAAGTAAACGCCACAGTACCAAACCCGGTCTAGCCCAATAAAAGTTTTTCATAAGCCTTTGACGCTGCTGGTTCCTGTATAGAGACTAGACGGGCTAAATGGAACATAATTTCTTTCATAGAAGACGCGAAACAAGGCGGGTTAATTGGCCAGCGGAAACCGTAACCAGACGATCCAAATGAGTGCCCCCAAGGAGCGATGGGTAACAGCAAACTAAAAGAGGATACTCTGCATGACGGGGGGTGGGTGGGTGGGAGTTGAGCGCGATCGAGACTAATGAACAAGAGACGCTGCATGTAAACAGAGCATGATATAGTTCAGTGAAGTTCAGTGATAATCATGTGGCATCAGAAACGATACAAAATTTTGCTGAATGCTCAAAAGAAGATTACGACCGGCATTATGACGATATGATGCATAAGAGGTTTGCATGAACGAGGCTTAAAGACACTGTGGATCGTGGCACCGGGTCAATTGCCCGGAACGCATGTGCGGCATTCTGAGCATCTTTAATGGTAGCAATTTCTCAGGTATTTCGCAACATCCTTAACAAGAAATGATTGGTTGTTCAGCGCCTCATTGACAAATAATTATTGTATGCAATTTAGTCAAATCGCACGAAGTGTTCAAGGTCTGTTTTTTTTTAGCGTCGATGCATCTTTCTTACGCACACAGATACTTGTGAATCACTGAGGAAGAAAAAATAAATAAAAAAGTACAATTTCGACGAACTCTATCGTCGTACTGTGCAGTAATGACGAAAATTGGACGAACTGTTCTACGGAAGAGACAGCAATTCAAGTAGATGAAACGTGATATTCACATACTGAGCAAGTGGGAAACGATCAACGAAACATTATTGAGTGGTTTTTTGGGACTATTTGCTAAACTGAATGACACATACCCCCACAAAAAACTATGGGGTATCGATAATTGCTTCAAGGGAGTGCGATTCGTGTTATGTGCTAAGTGGAGTTTTACAAAACGATTGTTCTGGCCCAGTCCGTAAGAGTAATTGAGTCCAATTTCGCGGTAATGTGCGAGAAGAACTTTCGAATGTCATTGTGGCCGAAACCGGCAAGCAATCATATGAAAATATATTTTAAACTGTTAATACTACTCACAAGTAGTTGAGATCTAAAAGCCATTTAGTTCACCATTTGGGTACATACATGACTGTGAGCTGCGAGTTGCATTTTGATTTTGCAGGCTACGGTTAACAGCCCATCAAATTTGAAATACTGTCCTCATTCTTTCTAAGAGTACCGTTCAAATAAATTTGAGGATCCACAATACACATCACAAACGACCAGGAATAGGAATAAAACGTACTTTCATTTCAGTTAGCTTCTCAAAACGCGGGCGAATGAAATACCAAATTCCTTGTTTTGAGCCTTGAAGTGTGATCCCGTTGAATAACAATACGGATAGAAGAACGTATGGACACAGAGCAGTCACATAAACAACCTGAAAAAAAATGCACGAGGTAAATGAATCTATCTTCTTCCAAGTGTGTCACTATCAAATCGAGTTAGGCATATATGTAGCTGAACTGGACTTGACAAACCATGCGCGAAGAAAAGCGGGATAGAATACCGAAAAACCTGTCTGGCTACCATTTTTACAACTGAAGACAAACGGATATGTTTTCTAGCTCAGGTATACCGGGAAGTGGAATCAAAATGAAAGTAAGCAATAGCCGTGCACAGGAATAAAGTTTGTTCTTGGTTCGCAATGATTGAACTTCTAAGGTCAGGTGTCAATGAAAGAGTTTTCAGTTGTCGACACATGTAGTTACAGGTGAAGATTACAGTGGATTCTCTGAAAAAAATTCCATGTGATTCAAAATATCGTCGTTTTCGAGCAGAAAAGTACTATTTTTATTAGGCCTATTTAACTACCATGAACTGGTGAGTGTCAAACCATATTCTCATATGAGCCTATGAACAAACATTCTCGAGGCCATTCAACGATTTCATATTGAATTTCTAAATATTGTCTCGAGTATCAAAACAACTGTCCAAACCCCTCCCCTCATTGTTTTCTGAGAGCTTCCTTGAATTGAAGGAGAAGACGTTTTCTTTAAGATTATTTCCGTTGGTTGTTTGAAACAAAAACAAACTATTTTGGAGTTTGATTAGCCTTGAAATTTAGACCTCTCATGAGTGGCTCGGGTATCGTATATTGATCGTTTATCTTCCTAAACTACTGTTTTTTTCACGGGGAGAAAGAATATAGTGAAATGTACTGCCGTAAACACACATTGAGATCACATGATCTTTTGCTGATCGAAATTTGTTGAAATTTGGTTACCGTTTATTAATAGATTTCTGGCTCTTGGATTGGAACAGCTCGTACCGGAATAATTGTGCTGTTGTGCATAAATATTTTTTTGAAATCACAAGACCCTTCAAGTGAACATTTTTCAGGAGTGCTGTGACAAAATTTCCAATCGGTACAGTGACAAACTTTACATTTTTTGTACGGTTTTCTCCATTCTATAAAAAAAAAAGGGAAATGTCACTTGATCAACCGAATATCGGTAAACTTTGATCAACTTGAATGGGGCAACGAGAAAAAGCGTTCGATCAAAACAAAGCTAAATATTAGCTCCATATACATAGAATACCTCGGTTTTCGAACAACCGAAAACATTCTAGTCTTCTAATTTTTACCCCATAGTTGGATTAAGTGATACTGCTATTGACTGCCTGTTGTTTAGGACTGCTATCCTTACACATTCATCCAAACAAGCACCCGGGAAGCGTTTAACTGTAGATTTTCTCTTTTTTTTTGAGCTCACCAATGATCTATATGCTCGTGGATGTGACCAATACTGTCACGGAACACATGAATTAGTGAGCATCATTGAGTTAGAGTAAGTATGCAGTATACTGTATCTCCAATCCTTGCTCTCCAGGGGAGGGGGAGAAGAGATACTTGACTAACCCCAAACAAACTTGAACCAATCATTATAACCAGAATCACTCCGAGCTGCTTGAGACAGTGGAGGCACGCACGCAGACACGCAAACACACATCGTCGAATAGCGCCAAATTGCGCGGCGCATTTAAGGTGCCTTAAAACAAACAAAAAAGTCACACCAGAATTCTCAAACGAAATAAAGTACTAAAGATTCCGTTTCAGTTTCAGTTTGAACAACCATTAATCATACACTATCGTGCGCCAGTATTGGGTGCTGTGTTTTGGATGCCCATTTGGATAAACATGAGGAGAAAGACTGAAAAGGTTGAAAGTAGGATCGAAGAGAAAATTTAGGATTTCACCGCAACAATTTTGCAGAGAAATCGACAAGATGCACGAACGCCACTCTTTAGAACACTCAACCAAATCACTCAGTGTCTCTAACCATTGGGTATGATCATCCCGAGGCTCCCATCCAGGGAACCTTACGCGACCTATTTGACCCAGTTTCCTGGTTAGGGTTTTCATACCCTCGTGCCAGGTCTTAACTTGACCATCCTTGGCTTTTTTCCACTCGGTATCTGCTTCGGCGAACATCATTCGCCGTTGTAACCTACCTGGTGACATGCGTAATACATGCCCCAACCAACGTAATCTATGGAGATCAATCACTTGCTCCAGTGAGCGACCGCAGTTACCTATAACTCTGCGCCTAATCTCAGGACTGGTCGTCCGGCTGCCCCACCAGAGTCGTGCAGTGCTGCGTAGATGGCGATGTTTGAACTTCGACAGTCTATCTTTATGTTGTTTCCTCAATGGTCACATTTCTGCGCCGTATAGCGGAACTGGCCGAACTGCCGCAGCATACACTCGACCCTTAACAGATAGCCGGATGTCTCGACGGCTCTCCACAGATGTCTCAAGTTGGCAAATGCCAACCGAGCATTCCGTAATGCGTCCGCTGGGTGATATGTAGCTGCCCAAATAACAAAACTTATCCACTTGCTCTGTTACTTCGTCAGTTAGAGTGAGTGTGGAAGCTGGAACAACCGAGTCTTATAGTATCATTTTACACTGAACAATAACAGTGTCCATCTTACAACTTGCAACTAACGAGAATAGCTTTTCGCTTGGATTTTGGCATTCTCCAGGTGACCAAATATTATTCGTGTCTGTCTCTGTGCGTGTCCCATATTGGTTTAGCAGGCCAAATTTCCTAAACCCTTCTTATGGTGATTTTAAAGGGCAGAATACAAGTGTACAAATTCAAAAAGTTGAGATACAGGTTCCACTGCGTAAAAAACACTTGTATTATTCACTTCGCCCAGTGTGAATCCATTTGGTCGGAACCGAAAACACGGCGAGTAGACCTACCTTTCCCGATGATTTCACACCACGACGCATTGAGGCATACAATATGATGAATGTCATCACTGTACAGCCCACAATTGGCCAGCGCATCGGACCCAGGTCATTTAGTCCGGTACTGTGTTGCATGCTCAGTACCACGCGTCTGAAAAACAATGCGGTACCAGAGAGAGAGGGGGGTGGGGTGGGAAGAGCAAAGACGACTACTGTGTATGATGACATCGATGTGCCGATCGAGGTAAAATGAATGAAAATACGTAATTTTCAAACAAAACTATTTTAGACCTTTTAAAGTTTTGGACAAATTTCGCCTGTAACTGGTACATGCGGCATGACACAACCATTCTGAGGACGTCATTGTATGACAGAAATATGTTTGATATATGTAGAACAGTCCCTCCAGCAATATTGAAAAACTGAATAATGCATTTATTCATTCTTCGTCCGACAAATATCTCAGTTGTGCTGATTCCAGTTCTCCTAACATCCAACCTTCGTTTGATCCCATCACCTCTGGTGAGATATATAAACACATGTGCTCTCTCAAGGTGTCCATCGCACCTGGTCCTGACGACTTAAGTCCCACCCTTCTTAAACACTGTGCTCTGCCACTGTCTCAGATTTTCGCACACAGCTAATCTTTCACTCGAACTCCGAACTATTCCAAACTGCTGGCGTCCAGTGAGAATTACTCTCATCCCAAAAAGAAACGTCAAACATCCCAATAGCGAAGCGATTTAGACCAATTGCTCTCACCTCCACTGGTTTGAAACTGATGGAGCGATCAGTTCTGTGCCGTCTTCAGTTATCTCTTACCACCCAC